GCATTAGATAGAGTTCAATGGAAACTATTTGTTACGGCCCTCTGTTCCACCTAGGAATAAAAGGATTAAATAATAAATTAAAAATATAGGAAAGATGAAGTGAGGTCTATAATTCAAGAACTGTTGCTTTTATTCAAACAGAACATCCTCATTCACTGTGAATTAAAAGTTTTTCTACGGAAATGCTCTAAAATTTCCGGTAAATTGATATATTTGTTGTTGTTATCTTGAAAGTTCTTCGTTCTTATAGAAGACAGTTCTGGTGAAACCATCTTTGCGAACTAGAAAACTCTGTAGTGAGTTGGGCATAAAACTTTGTCGTTTATGACAATGGTTTGGGATATATAACCAATCAGCATACAAATATATACCTATGTCATAATTAATATATTGTTGTTAAAATAAATTATAGCACTGCATTTAAGAATCATTATTTTATCAGCTATATGCACTCCAATGAAGATAAAAAATATTCTTTTGTATATATCATCTAATCAAATTGTTACATGTGAAATGTTTTACATATTATATATAATAGAAACATTATTTTGCTGTTCTCTTCATAAATTTGTTATTATTTTATTAATGTTATTTTAAAAATATATTTCTGAACAAAAATACTTTTATATCAAGATAATATCATAAAAATTTGTATACAATTTCTACAATAAAATGGACGAATAATTCGATGCAAATTTAACAAGTTTAACAAACGTAACTTTTCAACATAATAAGAAACAATAATAATAATAATAATATTAATAAAATATGTGGGAAGAGTACCACAATACTGAAATAATAAAAGAATGATAAAATAATTGAGACATTGACACATAATTTATCTATTCTTCATCTTCACTATCCAGAATGGTTTTGAAGCTAAATGGTTGGAATGAATAACCCAATCCTTCATAGAATTTGCTCATGAATTCCACCCTGAAAAATATGAGTTGTAAAAAAATTATTATAGCATAGCATATTTTTATAAAATATTTATAACATATGCATTACTTACCAATGCAAACGCAGTGTGTGTAAGAAAGCTGAAAGGCCTTCCATCATGACCATTATAGCCAAAGTGAATAAAACCCAAGCACCGAAAATAAAGAACAAAGCTACAGCGCCAGGAAAGCCATGCATCTTTAGACCCAGAGAAAGTACCATGTTCCACAATACTTCAGATAATTCTACAAACATAAGTAAACAAAATATATGATTTATTGAATAAACAATTGTAGTGGAAATATTATATATAACTTACGTGCGTGCGCCAAGGATAAAGCCCACAAACGTAAATAGGAAGCTGTGTGAGAAATAGTACTGAGCACATATTCGATTGTGTGTATTGCTTGATGGATGAAAATTTCACTCATGGGCTCATCGTCATGACCATGAGCACCGCCACCACTACTTTCATGACTTTCGGCACTCAACGTTGGTAATGGGGTTTCACCATCTGAGAGTTCTATATTGGCAGTTAATTCTCCATTGTGTTTGGCCTACATTAATACAAAATTTATTATAATATGCGTATCTATCAATTAATCGGTTATTTGTTACTTACATGAACTTTATTCTTGCGTGTAAATTTAATGTATAGCGGTTTGCCCAATAACATCCATGGAATGCAAATTAAAGCCACTAAAACGAAAAGCTTCTCCACATCAGGCTGTCCTTCAAACATATTTGTATCGCAGCCTGCTACTTTTGGTGATGGTTTGAACAACATCATGTTGATAAACATAATCAATACTGATGGTGCACAGCCAGGTGTATCTGCCTGTATTGGCGCTGCAGCAGAATATCTAACCCATTTGAAGAACATCATAAAGACCATGTAACCAAAGAGTAAGCAGAGGAAGAGTATTTGTGGCACGAATTCGAGAATAATGCTGGATAAACGTTTAAAATAGACGAAATTCACAACAGACATACAAACACCAAACACCATGTGCAAGACACCAATAATAATTGACAGCTTCATTTTGTATGTATTGAGGAAAATAATTTTGTTATCTGCCATTTGCCAAATGGGATCTAGACCAATAGGATAAACACCAAACGCTGCATATTTTGGATCCATTTGTAAAGACGGATTTTCTAAAACGGTAGATGTATTATAACGAATTTTCCATGTAGAGCCGAATATGTTCATTGACTTGGAGAAAATATCATTGTATATAAAGCCAGTATAGCAAGCAAATAAGCCCATCAACAAGATAATATAACGTCCTCCAAAGAATATATTCCAAATTTCACCACCACGAGTTCTACATAATTTTTTCTCATTCAATACCATCCAACCGCCAAATAGTAAGAGTACTATGCCATGGCCCAAATCACCAAACATAACAGCAAACAAGAATGGGAAAGTAATACAAGTATATAAGGCTGGATTGCATTCACGATAGGATGCAACACCATATGAATCAATCAAATTTTGGAAGCCCCGTGTAAATTTATTAGTACGATTAAATGTTGGTGGTTGTTCATTTGTTTCAATAACATTTAAAAACGACGGTATAGTACTGCCCACAGCAGCTGAGCCATCTGAAAGTGCCTTTTGCACAACTGGCAAATCTTTCGTCGGTACCCAGCACTCGCCGATAAGGCACTTCTTAGTTACATCCATATTGAAAAAGTTGAGCGTATGATAAATTGCTTTCATTTTCTTGACCATAATTGACCATGATGGCAAATTTTTAGAAACAGTGGCCAAAACGCGACTACGATGATCTTCAGTTTGACTCAATACCAATTTTAAATCTTCCAAACGTGTACGTACACCTTTAACCATTTCCTCACGTTCAGTATGAGAACTTGGACATGGATACATTGATGCATGAAAACCAGTGCAAACTTTCTTGATACGATTCTTCAATTGCTCACCTTGGAAGAAAGCAACGAAAACGGTTTTGTAAATCGGATGACCAGTGGTGGGATCTTTCAAGGGATCATCTAAATCGGAACGTCTTAAGAAAACATTACCACGTGAAATACGCCATAACATGCGTTCAAATGCAAAAACACGTTCACGATTTATAACACCAGCAACAAAACCTAAACGACCACGATTTTGAGCAGTGGCGTCATCAACACCAGGAGCACGATAATTTGAGTCCAAATTGAGCACTTCTTGATCTGAGAAGAAACCTTGCGTATTCTCAAGTACTTTACGCAATTCAGTCAATTCTAAGTAATTAGACTTCAGATTCACTTCATTTTGAGCCAATTCAAGTATTTCATTCTCAGTTTTCTCCAAGTGAGCTTCCAAATCAATGATTTCTCTTGGATTGGGTGCGCGTGGTATGTCATCAATAATATCGGCTAAAACAATGCCATCTTTTTTAATTTCGGCTTCAATGTAACGTATTTTGCGTTCGAGTTCATCACAACGACGCACCTCCGTGACGAATTTACGTTGGAAAGCATTGACATTATTGTTCAACTGAAAAACAAAAATATATTTTAAAATGTAAATATTCATGTTTATAAAATTATCTATATAAAATACTCACATCGCGAAATTGCACGCAACCGGTTTCACCCAACTCCGAAACGGATGTGTAAGCCGCTTCAGGTTGTATGAACATCTGGCATAGCGCCATCTCCTCACTACGGAACATGTCCCCCATACTGAAGGCTGTTTTTTAAAACCTTAAAAAATTAAAAATATACATTAATTAAATTAAATAATAATAATTTAATTAAATTTAATAGAAATTAATTTCAAAGTTCAATTAATAACTCTCTCCAATATTTTTCTTTTACCAGACCATAGCAGCGTATTACTAATATAATTATAATTAATTAATAAGAAATAATTGTCCCAAACGTAGGTACAATATTATAACACCATATTTTTAATTACAAGTTTAATAAACGCTATTTCGATTATTTTTTCTAAGAACTAAATAAGTACATATTTGATAGTTCAATACAAAATCTAGAGATATTTTTTTTGCTTTCGCTTCTAAGATTTTATAGTCGTTTGCCTTTTACGTACAACACTCGAACTTATATTTCATTCTTCTTATCTAAAGTAAAGTCATATACTATGATTAATTTAAAAATTCTTGAAAGCCGAGAACCGAAAAATTTGATGACCTACTGCTGGGCCCCGCACGTACTCGTACAATTGATATATAATGCAATAAAGAAATAAAAACTTAAAATATATGAGTTCTCCTTTAAATCAATTGAAGTCCAAAAAAACATAAATCAGAACAAATATTGCAATTTATTTACTAATGATAGGAAAAATTTGATTTATGCGAAATTAGAAAGTCAGATGTTATTTTATTTAAAGCCTCGAAACAATTATTTCCCATAGTGATTTATAACATATAGGTGTTAAATTTGAAAAATACCGTTTATACCATATACATATATGTGTAGAAGCACCGAGCGCCATCTATACTAATACTTATTAATCAACGTACCTATGCTTGAAACAGGCCGAAACAACAACAACTTAAACAACTAAAATCTTCTGCAATTGTCAAATATACATTCCATACTTTTTAATTTCTATATATGAATTACTTAAAACTGGAATGTATGTAGCGTAAAAATTATGATAGTAAGTAATGACGTCAGTGTTAAGCAATCTTTGACTTATGAAATTCACTTCATAAGAAATTTCTCAATCTTACTTAAGACACTTATGTTGCAAATTATCTTATCAAGTAGAGAACAAGGCAAATGAACTAGAATAATGTTTAGAGATATTGCTGAGGTAACAATTGAAAGATAAAATTCATTGCATTAATTTAATAAAAATATAAAAAATTATTATAATATTATTATTATAATATATAATAAGCTTAAAAACTATACAACATATATTTCAGTATGAAATCAGTTCGCCTGTACTTGATATAAGACTTAAGTATTAAGCGTATTATATATTATTAAACATATTCTTTAATAACGATGAAGGGAATGAATTACTAAATAAAATTGTTGAGACAGAAAATTTTGAAGATATAAATAGTAATAAATCAATTCCGTATTTAGTTAATTAAATTCTTACATTAAGAAAAATCCACTAGTCAACAATCGTTCGACCGGCGTCCAATATGTATTCTCCAGAAAAAAATGGAATAATATCTGTTCAGTTCCGATTAAAATCAGTAAAAGAATTATTAATGTGCTCTTCCTGCAATTTGGAAGACTTTTTTTGAAGATAAAAATAAATTCTGCTACATATCTTCCACAATAGCAGTCGTCACTAGTCATATAGATAGTGTTGAACTCATGTAATTACTGGATTACAACTACATATTCATAATAGGATGTGAAGATTAATATGGTGCTGAAATTGTCCAGCTAAGGAAACTGTTTATATTTTTTCATGCTACTAGAAAAATCTAACAGAAATCGCTTTGTCCAAAACTATGTGCGAGGTAATATTTAATAAAGAAAACAGAACCAATTGTCTAATCCTATATGTGATGGATCTGTGACGAATGCATGGGTGGCAATTAAAACTAGATTCACTTTTTATATTTTCTTAGTAAATTAGAAAAGGCTAGTTATAGTACAGAATGAAACTTAATTAATTATTATTTCTTTTGAATAATATTTCTATTTACTGTTATAAATAGAAATAATTGAAATAAATAGAAATAATAAAATAAAAATTAAAAAACAATTGGTTAAAATTAAACTTATTAAAAGTAAACTGCACAAAGAGGTCGGGAGGAGGAAGAGCTTTTGTATAACTACACTAAAAATGTCCTATGATGGCAAATAGCATGCTCTTTGTGGTTAATTCATATCACAAAACTGCGCAAAGTAGAAATGAGAATAAGGTCTATAAGGACTATAACCTCAGTCCAGGTGAAGCAATCTTGCTACCTCAACGAAGTCTTGCTACCTTAAAATGGTCTTCCTACTACAGCAGTGTAGAGCCATAAATCAATAGAGCTTAAATTTTCTCAAAAAAACGAAAAATAAATAAAACAGAATTCCCCGTCAGGTTTTATAAAGTGAAATTGTGCTCATCCATTGCCTCAATCCTTAACTACTTGCTGAACTACCTTCTATGTATATGGGTGAAAATGTATGATTAATTAAGGTTGGTTGTTTGATTTTAGTGGCGTCAGAACTACCTCCTCTGTAACCTCTTCAATATCTTATAACAGATAAATGCTTATAAGCTTATAATTATAGTTGAATCAAATAATATACTTATACGTCAAAATATTTGTACCCGTAAGATGTTTAAGAAAATTGACTTAGCAACTGCTTACTTTTCTAGGTGTATCTAATAAATACGAGCTGTAAGATCACAACAAATATTTTGAGATTCTTTAGAAAATATTTCAAAGCAAGAAATTAACACATTTAATTGATCATAATTGATATTTGGAAAAAATTTTCTAACAATAGTTCGACCACATGATGATGTGAATAAATATGAAAATTTATCTGCTCTTTGTGCTTTCATGAATTTTAGTAAATTTTTAATAACAATAAAAAAAAAATTATGAACATCTATGTGTATTGCGATAAAAATGTTAAAAATTTTTATAACAATAAAAATTATAAATTTTATTTTATAAATTTTTTTTTTGTTGTTTTTGATGAGAAAACATCTCATTTAATGTCGCTATAAAAGTATATATTTGCATGCCTTCAACGTACTTGCTCTGCATTTGCATATATGAAATTTTTTATTGTTTATTTAGTGATAATTAAAAACTCATATTTGTTTTAATTTACTTTTTGTTTTCTGATACAAAAACAATTACAAATAGAAGATTGCAATGGAAGTTTTATGAAGTCAGCTGATGTCATACCTTACTTAGCGATCATGTGACGAACATATTAGGCAGTTAATTAAACACACGTTATGTGAACTAATGATATGGCATACACAATACTCATATAAACTGCAAAAATTCAATTAAATTTTTTTATATCTAAGTATATTTAAATATTTTATATATATTAAATATATATAAATATTAAATACTTTTAAGCGATTTTTTTGTCAGTCATCAATTTTTTTATATCTAAATAAACTTAATGAAAAGGACTTTCTATAAATTAAATTAAATTTTAATATACAATAATTGTGATTGAGTTGTCCTTGTAGCTATTTAGTATTTATAAACTTTCAGGGCTAACTTCGCGCTCGATAGTTTAGTTAGTCGCTAGTTAGTCGATTCTACATTACAACGTCTGACCAAAGGCAACTTTGCATGTCTACTGGTTTTGAATGCTTTTCAACAATAAAAATAAATTATTTGCAAATAATTTATAAATTAAAGTATATTTCCATTCATCTATACTTGAATGTCAGTCAATCCAATTATTTTGTTTATTGTTGTTGTACATACTTTATTAAAACTGAATTCCTTATCACACGCACTTTTTGTATTTCATCAACTGTTTCTGGTATCGCGACAAACTGATTCAAGTCCCGAACAGTAACTGCATTCGCTTTGACTGACTACTTTGACTCTGACCAGCAAGTGCCTGACTCTCCAATACTTCGGAACACCACACCACCACCAGCACTAGCACCACCACCACCAATACCAGTAGTTATAGTTCCAATCGAAATAAATGGGAGCACACTTTGTTTAATTAACTTCAATTCCGCTCCTCGCGCTTTTATTCGGTTTGTGCTGAGTCTGTTCAATTTAGTTTAGTTCGGTAGGTCGAATCGTCAAATCATTACCAGGGCGTGCTCAATATCAAATTATAGTGTATAGTCTGGTTTCTCAGCGCTGGCATGATATGCTCAACGAAAATGTTCAACATATTTTTTAACAACTAAACGTTTTTTTTTATTTTTTATTTTTTTAATATTTTTATTTGTGTTTTTTACTTCTAATTATAGTTTGTCTTGTAAAGTTAGGGGTTCGTAGCTCAACTCAAACAGAGATTTTTCGCTATATTCTTAAGAAATATTAGTACTCATATTTTATATATAATAAATAAATAATTCATAAGTTACTGTTATATAAAAATGATGAAAAAATTTTGATTTTTTGGAGTACTCTATCAATGTAAACTTTAAAAACCCTTAAAGGTGACGCATATGAGTTAACATAGCTTTAATGAGCTATGAGTGAAGGGACTATAAACGCATTGCTCAACAAATTGAATTAATTCCTACTGAATATTATCTATGATATCAGAATGGACTATTATTTGTGCTTAAGTGAAGCTGTCACTACAATCGAATTCAAACTAACCTCACTAAATACTAAGTCATACAATGAGTTCGCCGTATGACTTAAAAAAAACAGATGTTTAGTCGTTAAAATCACTTTTTTTAGCAACAAACTTTCAATTTACGAATCTACGAAAGTTATAAAATTTTCGTTTGATGGAAATCATTTTTAACATAAGAATTTATTGAGGTATGAAAACAGCAAGGAGTCAGATGGAGAGTAATCTAGTTATCAAACTGATTATTGCTGAAACTCATACTTTAATTCACTGATATTAGCGACAGCTTTTTGAGCTGTATAATCAAGTGCGTTATGATGATTTTTGTCTTCTAATTAAACAAATACTCTAAATTTTTGTTTACCCATAGAGAACTAAGTTTATGGTTTTACAAATTTGAAGTTAATCTGCTTATAAGTGGATACTTTTTCTTAAGCGGACAGTGACAAGACTAGCAATTCTGTCAGACTGAAAAAAACTATCCGTTTATTATAATCTTTAAATATACCCTATTATGAGAATATTGCTTTAGCTTAGCTTTGATTATATATACATATATCTGTATAAATATTAATTTATAACATAACATCAACGTTACATTCTTGAGCCCTAATTTTAAGAAAATCGGGAAACGTTCTATTACTATCTGTTTTATTTATTTAGTTTATTTTCCATTTTGTCGTTTATTTAAACGTATTTATGTGTTTTCTTTATTTTTTATTTTTGTGCAACAATAAAGTAACATTAAAAATGTATAAAATTAAAAAACGAATAGACCAGCAAAATACTTTTGAAAGCAACCAAAACAAAAAACATAATTCTGAGTTGATTTCAATCAAATTCTTTATTAATACAAAACAGTGGTGGGACTATTATTTATAGTAAGGGTCGCACTGCTTTCGAAGCTAGTTTTGATAATAGATAAAGTTACAATTGAAAGGTACTTTATATTGATTATAAATAAGTAGAAAATTGAATGCTTAAAGGTACTTGTGCCTCAGTACAATGCTCATTTTCCACTTAGAATAGAAGGACCCAGTTGATAATACAGCTTTAAATAGTTTAATTCGGAAGAATTTCATTCTAATTAGCAGCCCAACAGCTACGGTTTGAATAAAATTTACTTAAGAAACCTATTACATGATAAGATAAAATATTTAATACTTAATAATGCATTTCGAAGTCATACGATATCTAAAATAGTTATTGTTATAGGAATGATATTGAATTTATTTCCAAATAAATTAATAAATTTCTTGTCATAATACCCTAAATCTTATAACATTTTAAATGTTTGTTATAAAATTGTATTCTTTCTTTCCCAGCTATTGCAGTATATTATTGATCAAAGGCTAGCAAATTTAAGGCTAGCAAAGGCTTTTTGATAAATATCTTTAAATTAAAATTTAGATTAAATCAGATTTAATGATCAATATGCTGACATCCGTCCTTACAGCTCATTGTTTAATAGGTGCACACACTCGTGTAAGTTTATTGAAGCAGAGACTTGAATTAAAGCTGTCGAATTGAGACCATGAGACATATGATTAAGCACTTGTTGCATCACTGCCCGAATATCTTGAGACAAAGTAACAACTTCCTGGAAATATATCCACTTTTAAATATTAGCGGACCTGGTAGCAGTCGATCCAACAAGACTGTTAAGGCTGCTGCTTGACATCAAATGATTTTTTTATTAGACGGGGTTAAGAAGGTGAGAAACATAGTTTAATAGTAGCTTAATGAGCTTTGAGCCTATATAAATCTCAATACTTGTTGTAATAGGACTGTGATTAAGCTGATAATCACATTTTTGTAAATAATATTTTACAAAATCCAATATAATTTTCATATATATATTAATATGTATGCAGTCAAACTTCCTTAACTCGAAGTACCATTTTGCAAAACAAAGCTTCGACTTATAGAAACTTCGCGTTAAAGAATTTTTTTGTAATTGTATGTAATTTGCGCTCTAAATCTTGTTACACTCTATTTAGTACGAGATACAGAAGTTTCGAATTATAGAAGTTAGAGTTATAGTAGTTTGACTGTATATATATAATATAAATAAAATTTGGTAAAATAAGCATAAGTTTTTTTTAATAAAAACATATATATTCTAATCGCATTCATGATGTATTTTCTAATTTATTACAATATATTTCAGTAAGCTATTGTATTATATCTATCACATATTTTTCATCTATGCTGTCATATGATCTACTTGTAGTGTTGTATGCTGACTATGCCTCTATAGATAGTCAAATAAACTCTTTACATTGTACTAGTACGCTTCTCTTTTTTTTTAAACATAAATTTGTGATGTATCTACATAACGCCACTGGCACTATCTGAATTTATACTATCTAACATAGCACAACCATACGCGCTTAGTACCTTAACCAACACACTTACAAACTTATATATGGTATAATGTATATGTATAGCCTAGCACTTTAGCGCACCCAGCAATGTGTAAGGTTAAATTAACAAACAAATGTATCTCATATATGGTATACACACACCAACAGATCTAGAGAATAGACTTGTCTGAAATATATTTACATACATGCAACTATATTTTTTTTGTTTTTGTTTTGTTTGTCTTGTGCTTCTGTGCTAAGAGGTAATCCGCTACTGTCTGAAACGCGTTGTGGGTAGTTCGCAGGTTTTAGCTTCAGTTAAGACTAGATACGTACGGAGTAAAATGTAGTGTAGTGGAATGTTAGTTAGGAAGAGCAGTTTTAGAGTGAACGCAGTATATTTTAGATCTCTTAAAAGTCTCAGTCAATATTGAAATAGACATGATCACGTGCTTTGTTTTTATAAGCGAAAAAAGTCAGTTAGTTTGCGAAGTCGTAGTTTTAGATATATGGAAATTTTATGATACTATCTTCAAGCATTTATATAACCATTTTTGTAACTAAAATTTATTTTTTTTTTTTTGTTTTTAGGTTTTTCTATTTTATTTTGAACTACAATAATTGAAGAAGTCAGTTGCCAAAAATAAATTATTTTTGATATATTTACAAGCACCTCACCATGTGTGTTTTGATTTGATTATTGTATTGTTAAGTTCAGAACTTATAGAAAAACACATTTTTTTATATATGAAGAAAATTAAGATTATATCTTATAATTTTTATTTTCAGAATCGTTTTATGTTGAAATCACCTTGAATATTTTTTTATGTGAATAAGTTTATTTGCACTGTTGTTCAAACTGAAATTTCAAAAACTCGTTTTTAATTTTTATTTGCATTTTAATATATATCTTTTTTTTTGTTTTTGTTTTTTTTACGAAAACACAATTCAGTTAATAAAGCAGCAAAAAAAAAAACAGTAAAAAGAAACAATTTGACAAGTTCAGTCTCAGTTGTTTCCTTCAGGTAGTCTGACTATTTCTCCTTACCGTATCTCAACTTTTTGTGATTTTGCCTAAATACTTTGCTTTGATATCAAACTTAAGAGCCGCCCGTGTACGTTAATTTCAGAACTTGTTTCGTCGGATGTAAGCGCACGTCTGCCAGTTCGAGTATTTTGTACACAGCGATTTCAGTGAAAATGCGCTGTGGCTGTCGCTGTCGCTGTCTGCGATACATTTTTTGGCTGGCTTGCATGTGTGAGTGAGAAACTCGGTTTCTTATCTGCAGACGCAAGCCCCATAGAAAATATATAAACCAATAACACTGTTAAGGTATCTTTTTTTGGAGATATCTACAAATATTATAGTTCGGAAATTAATCTCTGGACGGCAGCATTTCACAGTGCTTAGCTGTATTTCTATTTTTTTTATTTATTGGTAGCAAATTTTGGGATTTCTTAGCCATTAATAATTCTGTGTATAATCAATTATTAGTTCAAAAAAATTGATTAAAGGAACCACGATCATAAGCGGTGCAATCTATTTATTATTATCAATTTCCATAAATGCGGTAGATTCGAATGTTTTGATAACAAATTTTATAATTGATAACTTCAATATTTACTCAATATATTTATTGATTACAAAATTGAACTTGTCGAAAAAATCATTACTTTTTACCATGTGAGCTGTCGGTATATTAGAATTGTTTCCCCAACCAAAGACTTTAAGCACTTTGATATAGTTACTTAGAAAAAATCAAAAAATTTATTAAACTATTATGTGTAATAATAAATTAGATTCTTATGTTATTAAGACTATGAACCTATTACTCAAAAAGCACTTGTTAGTCCACAACTTTTAATAACACTTAAAGTAGCCGGTTTGTAACTTAAAGTGGCCAAGTTTGATAATCTTTACTGTTAATAATAAGCGAAATCGATCAAATAAGGAAATTAATAATATGTCAGAATTATTTTGGACAATCCAACCATTTGACTTTTAATTAATATTAAAAATAATATATCGGTAACATATATATGAATCAATCATATCAATGGAAATAAAATATTTTTAACATTACAGAATTTTGTCACTAAGTTCAGTTAAGTTAGAACAGATTCCATTTAGACTACAACCATACCGATATATTTAATTCGGAGGCTTATGGGAATCTACGGGAAGCAATCGTTTTGACACGTAAATACTTCAAACATCCAGTAAGTTTTGGTTAAAAATTAAAAATAAAACAATTGTAACTCTTCGTCTTTTCAGATCTCAGATGTGCTTCAAATCCCTAAAACATCTTTCGGCAAGTTACTACCCTGAAACTCTTATTATTTCATCCTATAGATTTTTATATTATTATTATTGTTAGAAGATGTGATACTGTGACTGTCGGGTTTATTGTGGCCCCTTCTAGATATAGAGTAGGTCTCTAAGCCCTGTTACGTTAATAAAAAGTAATATAGAACCTACTTTACAGAGCTTTATTGCCTTTTCCATAAAAATATACATTCCCTGGAGACTATTCCGTATGTACATTAGCGCAGGGCATTCTAACAGCACATGTGTGGCCGACTTATCATTTTCTTTACAGAATCTACAGTTTGCATGCGTAAGTATACCCAGTCTTGTAAGGTGGTGTTTTATACTATAGATTCAACATTCTAAAAATTTAAAAAGCCAAAATCAATTGTTCATATGTTAACATCAAGACTGGCTTTAAACCATTAACACCTATGATCATTAGATCATTAGATGTGGACCAACTCTTTTTATTTAGCATTCCATAAATGTAAGAAAATATAAGCAATGGTACATCTGTTCACATCCAGACGGGTTTCAAACCCTTCAGATCAACTTTTTATGAGGTTTTCGTTTATAAAATCAAATAAAGTTTATTTATTTGAGATGTTCAATTATATAGTAACAATTTATTAGTAAAAATTGTAAAAAAAAATTATATAAATAAGTGACCTCATCACATCACATTGCATTTTTTCTTAAATAAAATTATTCAAGCAATTTTTATTACATATCTTTACTGCTACCAACGACTTATATGTATTACTTTGATAAGGCGCACTTATAGAAGCGGTACTAATTATAAATCCTTTGCTTATTAAATTTATATGACTTATCCACTTATATGACGGTATCCACTTAACAAAGTTTTTTTAAACCCACCCAATATAATATATAGAATATATTAGATATTTATTATTATTATGTACGTATATTAAGAAAAGCTCAAATAGTCTTTTTAAAAACAATAAAATATGTGATGAAAAATATATAATTCATTAAGCATTCTACAATCCATTTCATCCTATGCCTTCTGCTAACATATAATATTCATCCATCAAACAAAGTTGTCAAACGTATAGGTATACTAATTTCTTTATTTTTCTTGAGTTAAGGGCATAAAAAAGCCCAGTCACTCTGTAGTTAACTCTTGTGCCCTAACGCAATGGAAATATGCAGTTTCCAAAACAGAGTAGGATATTCTAACTCTAACTTCTTATAATCTAATATAATCAAGACAATATAACCCAACTAAACTATTCCAATTGCAAATATTTATATGATTGCAATGGACACGATATAACATAATGGAACGAAAGTGTCACCACCACTAAGTAAATTCGAATATTAAACCCGTACAATCACCTGTGTTGAGGAGGATATATTCTAATGTTTAAAATAGAACCGCTGAGTATAATTAGCATGCACTCCTTAGTCTAATGGCATCCCTCAACCAAAGTTACTAATTCAGATTATCGATGAGTTGGTCTGTGTACAATGATTCAAAATACAACAGATTTTTTTAAAATGTTTAAATCGAATTACCTCTGAAAAAACAATAAAACGTTAAAATCGTAATATTATAACTTCATTTATAATAATATTTTGTAATAAAAAGTTCAAAAATGCAGATTAAGAAGTAGTTGAAAATATAAAACTCCGTGTTTACGCATTATCGCAAAATAGTAGCAATAAGAAACTTGGTTCAAAATTATAGATACCACCAAGATCCGATAAATTCTGTAAATGTAAATTTTAATTTGTTTTTTTATAATAAGCAATTATTTTATCGTGAACAATGCATAGAACTGAGTTTGATAATCGCACCAAAACACTACCAAGTCCGATCGTTCCAGTAGGCCCGCCCAATAAAATCGAGTTGAATAAGGCCAAACGTATTAAATTTTTTCGTAACGGTGACCAATTGTATGTCGAGAAAATAATTACCATCTCCAAGAAACGATACAGGACATTGGAAAATCTTTTAGATGATCTAACTCGGATCTTTGCCACAAGTTCTGCGACAACAAGCGCCATTACCACAATATACGCAACAAATGGTGATGTTCAAACTAGCCTTGAAGACTTGAAAAATGGTGGAACTTATATCTGCGCCTGCAAGAAGGAAAAATTTGTTCCGATTAAGAATCAAAATGCATGTGAACCTAAACCATCTCAAATACAAGTCGGTAAAACTACTCCATGCAGCAATCAGATTGCTACTTATAAGGTAAAATCTAAAAAGTCTATCGTATGTAAAGAAGCTCCTCACTTAATATTTCTAATTAAGAATGGCCCAAGGCCACGTCATATATCGCATCTGTTCTTGTACAAAAATAACAATCAGACATTTGACACCGTCATTCAGGCCATCTCTGATGTTATCAAGCTTAATACCGGCTTTGTTCAAAAGATTTTCAATTTGGAAGGCAAACCTGTCAACGAATTAACAGACTTCTTTAGCTCCCATGATATATTTTTTGTTTATGCATCAGCATATCATAAAATTCGTAATAACTTTGTATTGAGTCCTGGTGAATCAAGATCCATAAAACAACTGCAGGAAAAACTTCTTAAGATTCCAGCTAGTTGTGAGAATAATAATTCTTTACAACCGATAGCTTCTTGCAATATCTTTTCAGTAGGCAAATATCCAAGTATCATCGCTAACAATTACACAATTGATTGTTTCATTGGAAAAGGAGGATTCGGTAACGTTTATAAGATTTTAAAACATAGCTCAGGCATGGAATACGCTCTAAAAGTAGCCAATAAAGCCAAATCCAAAAATGCACACCTTGAAATCGACATCATGAGAAGGTTAAATCATAGAAACATCGTAAAATTGATCGATTCAGCAGAAAAATACAACAAACTTTTTATAATATTAGAATTCGTGAGAGGTGCCAGTTTACTGAAGATTGTTCATAAAGTACATGTGCCCGAGGAACAAGCTCGTTTAGTTCTAAAAGAACTTTCCGAAGCGCTATCGTATCTTCACTCCAAGAACATAATTCATCGTGACGTAAAAGCTAACAACATTTTAGCCGAATGTGACAGTTCAAGTGATGATATTAAACATATTAAACTTACAGATTTCGGAGCGGCCTGTAAAATATGTACTTCTTCACAGCAACGGTACTATGGTACACCATCTTGTGCAGCACCGGAAGTTATAAAGGGTTTTAGTTATGGAGCAAAAATAGATGTTTGGGCTGCAGGATTAGTCCTTTTCATTATGTTAACTGGAAAGTCAGCATTCTCTAAGAAAATGTTCCAAACAAAGGAGGAAATGTTTGCAGCAATTGGATCGGGAAAATATACATTTCCGAAGCAGTTAGAATGGAAGGTATCTGACTCAGCGAGGGATTTGTTAAATAACATGTTAAAAGTCGATCAAAAGCAACGTTACTCTAGTGCTGGAGTATTAAAACATCCCTGGATTAAAGGCAATACTAACTAATCATACTGATATTTGTTTTTTTTGTTGCATACAATTAAATTATTGCATATTTTAATATTATTTTGAATTGAAAAATTCGAGTTTTTGAAAAATTAAAAAAGACATTGTATTAAAAAAATAATGCACTTGGGGGTAATATTAAAGACATATAACTACAAAAATTATTTTTTAAGATATTTCGGATATTTGCAAATATACATTATTAATAATCTTCAAAAATATTTATTTCCTTTAATTGTGTACATATAATTATTATTATTATTATAACATGTGCTGTACAATATTTGAACTAAGCCTATTCACAAAGATTTTCTACAAAAGTTTTCCAATTTTGCCTATTTCGAACGATATATCTCAGTTCACCTGTCGATTTATTTGTTTCACTGTTTATGGTCCTACT